GGAGAGGCTTTCTCCCCTTTGGCCCCTCCTGTTTTTGGGGGGGTGCGGCCACCTGTCACGTTGTTCTCTGGCCACTCGTCATTGCACATTACATATTTTTCAAAGATTTTTGCATACAGGTAGATGTTTTGAACAATATATATGACTGCTGTTAACCATTTTTTAATTTGTATTGTAAGCAACTGGTGAGGATTGATTTCCCAGAGAAGTGTCAGCCCCATGTAGACTAGCAAAAAAGATAATTGTGGTTTCTCTGTTGAACTGTTCACCCCCATTCTCATGCGTCTGTGTAGAAGTGGCATGGGCTTTGTCTACATTGCAAAGTCCTGATGACACGGCTGTGTTTCATGCAGTAGGTGGGGCCGGGGCCAGCACATGCTCCATGTGGTGCCAAGGGTTTGGTCCAAGACCCACTGGTTGGATCTGGCTAGTGGGCTGGATCTTGGACACAGTGCCCCTGATGTAAATAAAGCCTTAATTTAGAGAGGGCACTTTCCAGCTGTGTGAGCAGATTGTGTTGTGGCATTAAATAGGAGGTAAGGCTAGAAGATGTGCAGTTCCAGGGATCAGGAGTGTGCAGGCATAACTGTCAGATGGGGTTTCCAGTCAAGTTAAGTTACCTTGAATGAACAACCAAGGAGAAGCAAGGGTTTTTTTTGCTGTTCATATATTCTTGTACTATCATGGCTACAACACTCCAAACCTATGTGAAAAACCAACCTTTTCGTCAGTGAATGCAGGACTGTAATGACTCATGAAATGATAATTTTGAGAGAGCATGCATAAACTAATGATACTTGGTCCTTTGAAGTGCGATTTAAGATCTGTATCTGGCCTTTTCCATGGAGGGAGACTTATGCTTCAGTAATTGTGGATTCTTATAGAAGACCATGGTCCAACCCTCTTGACCTGTGGGAGTATATTTACTTTCAGATGAAGTTATTAGGACCTGAATTGGATAGCTAGGAATAACAGGGTAACTTGGACATCATCACTAACTTCTGAGCAGGTATTCAGTTTGGGTCTCCAGCAGACTTTTTATACCAGACTTCAGAGCAGGTTACACGCATCTTCATTGTTAATATTGTGTGTGTCAGTTTACTAGTGCGCATGCTACAATTACATCTTTGTTTACTGTTGGCATACCCTTGCTGTCACAATACAAGAGTCAAAATTTAGCATTTCCTACACATTCTAATTTAGTTTTATGACCATTACAGATTAAGAGAGTAGTCAGAGCTGTGCCTAGGGGTGTGTGGGACCGGGGGCGGGGGGAGAAGGGGTTGCGAGTGGCCAAAGTGTGGAGCTGGTGGCATGAAGCGGGGCCTGTATGGCACTGGCCACGGGGCCTGGGGCAGTTGCCCTGATTCGCACCCCCTTCCCCCTGCTCCAGGGATGGCCCTGTCTGTAGTGTTTCCAGTTGTTTTTGTTCACTTTCAGGTGAGTCACTTGGGTGCAAATGTCAACCTGTTGAAAATGAATAAGGTAGACACTGCATAGCCAAGTATTTTGTAACGGCCAATGTTACATACATATATGCCTCTTAAGTTTAACTTTGTTTTCAGCTAAGAAATAAGGGCCTGTTGCATGCTCAAAGGGGGTCCTTCTTGTGGACCATTTGCTAATAAGTTATCTCTTCTTTCATCCACAGCTGAGCTGCTAAAAGACAAACCAGTATCAAGATGCCTATAGTGAAGGCAGGGGGTGGATCAGTCCGTAAAACAAAGAAAATTTCTGTGAAAACTTCTTTAAATAACCCATATGTTATCACATGGCGTACTCTAGAGGGAGAAGATGTGAACTTTATACTACAGACCTTGGAAGAAAGGATTAAATATACTGGACTTAAAAAGATTGAAGTTGCAAGCAGGAAAAAGAATTCTAATGCAATAAAACAAGCCAAAAAAACCTGTGATACTAGTGCTAGTGAACTTCTAAAGGAGAAAGAAAAGGAAGGTACTCAACAAGGGTGGACTGACTTAAATATCAGGAAGCAGCTTGCCATTGGAGTTAATGAAGTCACAAGAGCTTTGGAAAAAAATGAACTTCTTTTAGTGCTGGTATGTAAATCTGCAAAACCTGCTCTGATCACTTCGCACCTTATTCAGCTGAGTGCAAGTCGAGCGGTTCCAGCTGGCCAGGTCCCACGTCTTAGTGAAAGCATAGCTCCTGTTCTTGGTTTAACCTCTGTTCTAGCACTGGGCTTTAAAAGGAACTCTGACAGCTTTACTGAAGTAGTAGAAGCTATAATTACCAGGATTCCTACCTTGGATGTACCATGGATTCACCATGGAACTGAGCAGTCTGTGCCAGATGCAAATACTGGTTCTCTGGAAATAGAAACTTCCGAGCTTATGGACACTTCAGTGGAGGAGTTCTCCCTAAGCCAAAAGCGGAAGCATACTGAAAGTTATACACTAGATGCACCAACTGTAACTTTACAAACCCTCAAAGTTAAAAAGCTTGTTCCAAATCCGAATAAGATAAGGAAACCCCCCAAAAAGAAAAAACGCATTTCAAAATAAAATAACTCTTTCAGGTTCTTTCATTAAGGCTGAAGTGACTTTTTTTTAATGCGGTGTGAGAAACTGCTGTCTGTAACTAATACCCTAACAATTTAATTAAACTTAAAGATTGCAAGCCGTTTGACCAATGCAAAATGAGATCAACTAATATACTTACACAGTTGTAAAACTTTTTTCCTATTTAGAAATTAAATTGTAAATCTGTGTAAATAGTGACTTCTCTTCTAATTTGTGTTTGGAAAGCTTGGGTTTAAGGATGACTATTATTAAGTACTTAAAATAAGAGAGATGGTTTTGTACAAGACATGCATTGTAACAAGTGGCATGCAAAATTCATATTTTCAGGAAGTAATATAGTTTGAACAGAAACTATGGCATTACATGTTGTTATTCAAACAAAGGAATATCAAAATTGAAGTTTATTCAAACATATCCATGCTGGTATGAACTTTTTGTTTTCAGTTTGCTTATTTGTTCAATGCTGCTTTCAAGCAAATATCTGTAGCTGTACACAGACTTCCCTAGGTTTGTTCTGGTCAAGTATTGCATGCAAAATTGGATTTCAGATATATTTGGCTTCTGATGTGCTAAATGAAAACCATGTATTTCTCATACACAGACCAAGATAAAATACTATTTTGTTGCAGGAAAATGCATTTTAAAAGACTTATGTATGCAAGCCACAACATTCTGTTGCATAGATCTACATGTTAAATGGAGATTAAGCAAATGTCCAAATTTATTTCTCAAAGGGAGAATCTAGAAATTATTTCCAGAAAATTCAATGTATGAAGTAAATGTGCAAATGAGAACATTGAAGTGCACTTCCTACTACATGTCATTCCATGAAGCTGGAAATGGTCCCATGCTTAAGCAACTCCTAATACTAAATGCATCTTGTATTTAACTTCAAGAAATGGCAGTATTGTGCAGTAGAATTAATATGAAAGACACAGTTATTTGCTAAAATCATGCAATGATAGGGAATTCAGACTTATCTCAACCAAATTTGAATAATTTACTTAAAATTTATATTTTACTCAGAAGCCACTGGTACTGTAAAGCCACTTACCATAATGAAGATTATTCTGTTTGTTACTTTTAAATAGAGATCGAACTTCTATGCTGTGAAATGTTCCATAGTGTGCTCACCCCACCAGCTAGGTTACCAGTATTCTCGTTTTTGTAAAATGCTGCTTCGGTTAGGGACACTAACTACAAAGAAAAGGTCAGTAGTACTGACTCCAGAGCCATTAGGCTATCTGAAAGTTAAACAAACTGAAGCCTAGTGGCTAAATTCCAACTGCTTGGGGGTGGGTGTTGGGGAGGGATCAGTAGGGGCTAGTGACTTCCACTTCCTCTGCTCTTCAGGGCCATGGCTTCTTCTTGACTTGTTACATACAAAACCGATTGATCAAGTAGCTTCCAGTTCAGCACAGGGATATCAAACTCACCTAGCCCTGCACACACTGGTCCCGCTCCGGGGCTTCTACTGCATCTGGTGCAGGGGCTGGACCTGGTACCATATGCAACACAAGAGGGTCTAGGGTGCAGGTGCCTGTGCTGAACTGGCTGTGTGGTCTGGGGTTGGTCTGGATTGGGCCCCAGAATAACCCTGTGAGCTAGCTCCAGGAGCCAGCACTTGGGGCCAGTCTGACATAAGCACTGCATGCAGCATGTGCTGAGCCATGTCCAGCCTATGCACCAAACCAACTCTCCATACTGCATGTAGTGCGCACGGTTGGTCTGAGCTCCACAAGCTGATTTGCAGGGCTACACAGGCCAAATCTGGCCGATGGGCTCCTGGTCTAAGCTAAAATGTAGAAGTTTGGCCTTGGAATGTAGTCGCTTTCAACCTAGTATAAATAAGGGCAACAATGTATACTTTAAAATGAGATTATCGTTAGGCTGTAACTGACCCAATTTAGCACATATTAAAGTACAAACTGTGCTGCTTATGCTGGATGCTTGAACAAGCTAAACAAGTTCTAGTCTAGGTGATGGCTCGCTCTGTATATGCTTAGACTTTGCAACATCTAACTTTTAGGTACCTTGCTGCTTAGTGGAATCCAATCCCTTAGGCACCCAAGCTCTCTTGTATAATGCTGGGAAAAACTGAGTGAGAGGCAAGGATTTAAAGTGATATCTTTTATTGGACCAACTGTATAGTTGGGATAATTAGACAAGCTTTCAAATGCAAGATCAACATCAACTTGGAACACCCCTGTCCCATTCTGAAGTATCCAAAGGTCTTATTCTCTAAAGGCCTAAACTTCTGTCCAGAGGAAAAAAAACCTAACAAAATTCTAATATAGGAAGAAATAGAAGTCTTCTGCAGACTTTGCCTGGAAGAATACTTCCACAACCTTGCCTCTCGCATAATTTCTGGATCACCATGGCTACATCACTCTTACATTACTTGGGGGAAAAACTGAAGCACAGAAGAATGAAATCCAGAAAAGCCAGGCTTGCAAGGTTAGATACCTAAGCTGGCAAACTGAAAACTGTAAGCATGAGCATGTGGTATTTCTGTCCTTTTGTGGGATTTGACAGTGGAAAGATGGGAGATTAACAGCCCTGATCTGTCTCCTGGAGCTAAGGGTAAAGAATTTAGGCTCCCCATTTTATGCCTGATGGTACCTTTAGGTGCCAAGTCCAAAACTGGGTGTGTACAGGACTGCCCAGTCTAAGCAGCTCAATGTCTAGTTCAAACCCAGGCCTCCTAGGGAATGCAAACTATTTTTATGTCCAAGCCCCCTCACAGTACGCTTAAAAACCCAATAGGCCTTAGATTTTACAACAGCTAGATTGCAGGCATTTTATTACTTAGTAAACCCCGGTTAAGGCCACCCTATGTAATGTGAAGGGAAAGTGAGCCACCTTAGGAGGGAATCCACAAAAGCTACCACAGAATGAGGAGCCACCTAAAACATCACAATATGCCCCTGCTGCTTTTGAAGAAGAGTTTAGACATCAAGGGCTAGATTCAGATAGATAAGGTGCCACACCTTTCTAGAAGTCTGCCAGAGAGCATTGCTATGAAGGGGGGGCGGGGAGGTGTTTGCACATGTGTGCACATACATATGTACATGTGCACAGGTATAATAAGGTGTTAAAGTGCTCTTCCAAGTGTGAGATCTAGGGTCTTCTGTCCCACATTCCAGACTAACATCTTACCAGACAGGCTACAGCCTTCTTTTGATGGGGATACTCATAGTCTTTTGAAACTGATTCTGCCAAATAAAACACTTAAGAGCCATTGGGCCAGAGACAGTAAAGCATGACTCAAGTCTAATAGTTAAAGCTGTGTTTGGAGCCTTCTGTCACCTGGTGATTTCTGAGACACCCAGCCTCAGTATTTACAATCATTAGTACTATCACTAGCTCTTTGACTCTTCCTGCTCAGAATGTCTTGTTCTGAAGTACTTGACTTCCCTCCTGTCCCCCTCCCCACCCATGCCAGATGAAGGAAACTTAGACAATGCAGGAGCCAGGCTTCCATTCCAGAGGTGGAGTACCCAGAAATTAGCCCTGAAGTCCTTTATTGAATATAGGCTATCATGCTTAAACTCTTTAAAAAATAACAGGGCAAATGATGCTGTCCCTTTTACCAGTAACCTCATGAAAAGAGTTTTGAGTTCCATATACAAGAATAAAGAGGATCATCTCCTCTGTGACTCCCAAAAGTTAAAGCATGAGTGGTTGCTGTGTTGCTTAGCAGTCAAGGCTTAGGAGTTTCTAGTTGTGCCTAGAAACAGAACTTCAGGCAATTCTGTATCATAAGCCTGGGCAGCGAGGGCTTTCCGCCAGCTCCCAAGTTAGGCAATGACTGAGTGGGGGATGCTGAGGCTCGGTTTTGAACTGAGGTACCTAACTGCCACTTTGAGCACCTAAGTCCTTACAGATTCCAGCCTTGGGAGAGCATGCATTGCTATGAATCTAGAATATAAGAAGGCCTAGATGTAGGTGCTGAAGTCCTCAAGCTGGTGGAACTTGCTGACAATGCAACAGTCAGCCCGCACCTCTGGGGAGTCAGGCCATAGTATCTAAATTAGCCTTTACAAACCAAACACAAAGGGGACGCTTCCTACCCCCCAGCACCTTAAACTAAGAATTAAGAATTAGAGCATTCGAGATATAGGCACTCCAAATGCAATTCTTTCTTCTGTCTAAAGGGACTTGAGAACTACTTCTCAGGAAAACGATCTAACTTCCAGAAGTTGGCTCCTGTACACCTTTCTGACCGAAGGTTTTCTTTGTTCTTTTAATAATTAAATCTGCTAGAGAAGATGAGAATGACTACAGCATGCTGCTTAGAACACACAGCTGCCAGGTGGAGCCGGTAGTAAGCCCCTGCTCCAAAAATATTTAAGTATTTTGTAGTAAGTACCTGTCAGAGCAAGAGCTGAAATGTAGGTCTCTCTCAGCTCAGTCCCCTAATCACTAGGGACAAATTGTGCTCCCACCTCTCAGACTAGTGAATGATTTTATCAAGTAAACCGCTTCAGTCAGAAAGATTGAGAGATGCTCACCTCAGAATACCATACAGCTGTGGAATCTGACCTTTAACCTGGAAATAAGGAGATGGCAGATCATCTCATCACAGAGGGGAGAGGAGAGGATGGAAAACTGGGTCACCCAGATCCTGCTGTAACCACCAGGGTACTGTGATCCAGTGGAGCAGCACCCCTGTCCAGTTTGCATGCGTCTCATTGTAGCTGTGTTCCGAGAATACCTACAGGATCAGGCCTTGGATATAGGCTGTGGGAGCAGACTACCTAATATGTGGACCCCAAGTAGGGCTTAGGAGCAGGCCAGGTACCCAACTACTTGACAGTGCCAAGGGTTAAACGGTTACGGGTATGCCAGAAGCATGTGCCTGGGAACTTGAATGATGGAAACTTAGGCACCTCCAATATGAGCAGCAGGGCTTCTGAGGATTTCAATTTTAGACTTAGGCACCTGGGTTGGCAGTTAGGCACTTAAGTTCCTTTGCGGATCTGGCCTACAAACCTACTGTACATAGGAATTAGAGTCCCCACCCTGCCATTATAAAACAAAGACAGGTGGGAGATAAACTGCTATACAAGATATGCCATTCAGTGCTAACGAGGCACAGTCTACTTAATCAGTTCAAGTGAAGACAATATCAAGCATAAATTCCCTAAGCTTCGAGCAAAGCTTGCTCTGACATTTAGGATTATGGGGGTATTAAAAAGGAAGATTTATCTACACACATTACATAAGATATTCTAGTGACATCCAAATACTTGCACAGCATGTAGGCTTCACTATCACAGTTTGGCACTTTCAGCTAGAATTTTCACAACTTCAGATTTTCTTGATCCACATGTGACCGCAGCATACATGAACTATAAGAATTGCCATCACAATGAACTATGTCACTATACTGGAATGTATATTATAAAGTGCTTCAGAAGCCTTATTGGTTGCTGAGCATTCATGGGGAGTACAGGGACGGGGACAGGAGAAATCACATTTCAGGACAGGCCAGTACGTAAGCTTTCAAAGACAGGAGGAGCATCTTTCTTTTGATTACTGGCCCTATATACAATGAAACTCTTTGTTCCAGACTCAGGATAAAAACACTACCAGAAACAATTTATGAATACTTATTTACACAAGATACTTTGCATTAGAATTACAGACTTCATAAGAAATCAAAGTCGACAAAAGGAATATGTGCAATTCTGCAGATGCATTGAAAACATTCAAACTATAAATATTCGGATAGCACTACTAAAAAAAATCTTAGTTTTACACAGAAGCTGATGTTGATTTACTGAGGAAAAACTAAGGTCTTGTGCCACAACTGTAAATTAAGTACAGTAATGTATAATCATTCCAGCAACATAGAAAATGTCTGCACTAAACAGTGCAATACTCTTAAATCAATCCACTGATCTATTGAAGATCAAAGTACAAATCTGTATTTTTATTGTTTTGGCAGCGTTGCTTATGGAGAAACAAATGCACCAGGTCAAACCAGTACATTTTCATACTGCTCCAGTTACAAAAACATCCAGGACTTTCATAATAGCTACAAATGTCATACTCCATAATTTTCCCCCCAAACGATGAAATCCATGTAAAGTGAATAAGCAAAGATACTCAAGTTTGGATCCTTCATTCTGTAACACTGACAAACATACACCACCACTTAATAAATAGAAATGCAGCAGTTCATCCACATAATAGCAAAGATTTTTGTACCCTAATCCACCACTGTAGCTCAGTTTGTACAAAACAGTCTTTTCTACAGAGTGGAAAAAATACCTTCTTTTTATCAAGGTGCAAGCTAAGCTTTGAAAATTAAATGAATGTGCTTTTATTCTTTTCATGGACAATAAGAGTTTCATGAACTTTCCATTCTATCTGAAAATGTGTAAAACTGGTCACATATGGTCTTCTTTATTTCAGATTTAATGGACTATTTCAATTTTACTGATGTTGTGCTTTTACTCCTCTTGAACAACACCATTCCAAGAACTGCTATGGAGATTAAATCAACTCAAATGACGACTTCAGAGTTCTATAAACACAAGTGTCCTCATTGTAATACAAGACCAACCTAGAAGGAAGAGAAAAATGCAGTACTTAGTGCAAGTATAGCAACAAAAGACTGAGTTGTTTGCATTTAATTATGGAGTTTACACCTATTCAATTCACGCATTTTATTTACACATCATCTTCACTTTGACATTTGTAGGTGAATTCAGTATCATCTTAACTGCAAACAGAAGGCCCTTTTCAGTCTTACCTTTTCAGATTCCATCCCAGGACATCTCCAGTTGTACAGATAATACTGCAAGTTACCATCTCCAATCCCAAACTTGAGTTTTTCCAGGAATGTTTTGTTTTCCATCAAGTCTAGTGCATTGAACACGTCAAATCCTTTCTGGTAATATCAAAGCATTTTTTAAATTTTATTTTAAATTTCTAAATGATAACATTTTATGTACACATAATAAATGAATATATCCAGGATTCTAATAATTTTCACTGAGGAGATACAGGATTTGATCCTGTGTTCTGATGCGCATACAAGACCAAGATACCAACCAAAAGAATGCCTGTATAGAGAAGAACATTATTGGAAGATTCTCTCTGTGATGCAAGGTACTCAGGGTAAAACCTCAAAATAATCCTAATGTAGCTTTTAATGGCGTCATAATAATGTAAATGTTTTGGACAGCTTTTCTGTCTGTTACATTTGCTTCTCTCCCCCATTCACTTGTCCTCTTCCAACTCCCTTCCTCTTCACGTACCCAAAATCCATTACCATTACAGAAGTCTTTTTGGTATCCAGATGTTTACAGAACTTCAGTAGCCTCATGACATTTGCAACACTGACCCTGACACTGCACAATTAAGCACTCAAAAAAATCATAAAATGTCAATGTTAAAGTCTACACATGTAATCTTAGACTATGGGCTAGGGGGCAGGGTACATTTTGCATCTTTACTGTGAAAAATATACAATTTTCTTTTCAATTTTAGACACACACATGTAGCAACTTGCATTTTTTTTATCTTGCTCATACACACCTTTCTTAGTGTAATGGAAGGTCTAATATATTTTTATTGACTTTAGCTACAGAGATCATTAAGAGCCTCAAATGGTCAGCACCTCTGAAAGAGTCTAGCATTTATTTAAGATGCCTAAATATTGATTAAGTACATAATTTTACATACCCAAGTTTGAAGCTCCTAAACTATATGCATTTAGAATTGCCCGCATTAAAACTTCAGTTAAACTAACACAACTTACAACTGCATAAGCCTGGTATATTGTGAAGTTTACTGAGTTGCCTTTGCTGACCTACTAATTACTTTTGCTAAAAAGCAGTTTTCTGTTTTCTTCTTTTATATACTGCAGTGCAATTTGTTTGTAAGTAAATTATGATTCGAATATACTGCTCCCTGCTTCTTTCCCTTTATGTAAACCCAGGGCCAGATCTCAGAGGTATTTTAACAAGCAAGGTATAAATAGGCACCTAGCAGGATTCCCAAAAGCACCTAGACATGTAATGCCTACTGTTTTGACTAAGTTAACATTCACACAATAATTCACATGTCTGAGGAAGGCAGTGTGGTTTTGTGATTAGAGCACTAGTCTAGGTGTATTCCCAAGCTTTGTCACAGGCCTTCAGCAAGTCACCTCCTTGTGCCTCAGTTTCCTTCTCTGTGGCATCGTAAAGCATATTGACATTTATGAATAACATATATGAACAAAGTACCTGCACCTGTTACTGAAGACCTGAGTCTAAATCTCAAGAAAAATCAAGGTATCAAGCCTCAGGAAAAATCAAGGTTGTGCTTGTATCATTGCTAGTTACGTTCCATTTTAATAACGTACTGAACATTTTCTGAACAATCACAGCTTACCCGTCTCCCAATGCCTGAAGAAGGGTGTTTGTGCCCCAAAGCTTGCAAATAACTTTTTTACAACTCTAGTTGGTCTAATAAAAGATATCACATATGCCCAAAGAACTTTGCCTGCTTACCCAGGAACACATTCACACGTATATTTATTATTGCAAATAAATACGTGTCAGAAAAAAAAAGTGAATGTTTAAATGAAGTTTTGTGTGTGTTTATAGCTGTCAGGAACTTGACCAAGGCACTAATTACAACCGTTTCAAAGAGTCTAATATTATGTATCAAGTTCTTGTTAAAATGTCCATTTCACTGTTTACCTTAGTCAACCTCAGATTGTTATTTATAGTCTCAAAACATGCAAGGAGGAAAAGGAAAAATACTGTGTATTATTTGCTTCATAGTTCATGGAGATCATTAGTATCAGATACATTTGAGCTGTTCATTCTATTTTTTTAATTGATCTGTATCGATACTACCTAAATCTACCACAGTGGCTACAAACAGATGTCGGTTTTTGTAGTGGGATCAGCTATACCAGGGTGCTTCCAACTCAGAATGTGATCCCACTGATTGGCAGAGACAGATGTCATCCAGGGCTCCTAACCTGCAAGAATGGGCCCATGCTGGTCCTGGAGCATCATTCTGTGGGACAACAGCCCCAGGTACCTGGCCCAGGGCTCCCTGGGGAATCCCATGCATTCCCCGCCTCCAGAACCGCATGAAACACGTCCCAGGATCTGCAGAGAATTCCTGGGGCATGCATCTACAAGCATGGACCAGGCAATTCATGGGGTTTCCCTGGGTCAGGGCCAGACATTTGGAGCTGGTGTTATAAGGCCCTGAGCATTGGGAACACCTGCCCAGGGCAGCTGGAAAGGACCATCAGCCCTAGACTGCTTTTGTTCTCATGCCATAAGCACACAAGCATCCACTGTGACAGGAAACACAAACTATTACTAGGAATCGTTGCACTACCATTTTTGGGGCATCTTGAGTGGAACAAGCAGCAGAGATGTCTGCTCGTTTGGGCTTTGGTACCACCATGAACATTTTTATGGTGGCACAAGGGAAACATCTGTTTGCAGCCTTATACAAACATTCTGCAAAGCAAGTGGCGATGCAGGCAGAGAACTAGAGAGATAAAGCCTTGGCACTAAACCTTTGAGAATACACTCATTTTCTTCTAAGCACTTCTTTATAACATCTTCCCTTCCACTCTGTCAAACTGTGTTCCATTAATTTAGGTCTGGGTGTGAAAATGTGTTTACAATTATAACATGACATTCTGATTTAAGCTCTTCGCCGCTTTCCACAGATGCGCATCTGCAGTGTATCTGTGGTGTATTTCAACTTGCATAGCATTAACGTGCAAGTTAATTATTAGCTATAGTTGCAACTAAATCCCAGCACAAAATAAGCTTCCATTTGATAAAAAAATCAAATTAGTTTACAAAAATCTTGCTAACTCATTCAAGTCCATCCATGAGCTGCTGTTTCAGTGATACTGAGCATTCTTCCAACAGAAAAAAAACAGCATATCCTCTTCCTAAAGATAGCTTAGGTAAGTCTACACCACTATTCCTAGCCCTAGGAGTGTTGCTCTCCTGCACAGCCTGCCCACTAAGTCCTACCTGCAAATGTCAAACTTGACAACGAGGCAGCAAAGTGACTCTGGGGCATCCTCTGTCCTCTCAACCTGCTGCTGTCAAGCACATGGGAAACTGATTCAGCTCTGTATTTGGCTTGTATGAGTGGGTGGGGCATTCTTGAAAGTGACCCTCTCCAGGAGCGCCAGGCAGGTGGTGAGACATACCCAAAGGGGGTGGACACATACATTTGGAGTGGTTTCAAGAGGGCAGCCTTTTAAAACAGCAGCATCTGTTACATTCTAATTGTTGCATTTGGACAAGTCAAGAAGATACAAATATAGCTTGTGCCCAATTTCTTTTATTATGGAGAAGCTGCTGCACATGACCTTTTACACGGTTCTTGCCATCTGCTGTCCCCACCACATCCTGTCTGTCACTGCTTATTTGTCAGAGTTACCCCTGCTTTTTTCACAGTTAACCTTCCCTGAAAGTCATTCCACTACACACCATTTGGAGGTGCAACAGTACAGCTCTGCCACCAGGACTGACTATAAAAACAATAAATAAGCAATTCTTCTGTTGCAAGGAACTCAAAAAACATTGGGTGCCTATATAGGTGCTCCGGAGTGAGGGAGGTGTTTTAGTTAGAGCTTTCGGGAGCTGCTCTAATTAAAATACCACAGCGTCTCATGCATCAGCATCCCACATTTCAAAATGGCTGTGGGGGGACTTTAACTACAGCTCGTTCGACAAGCTTTAGTTGAAGTGCCATTTTGAAACACAGGACGCTGCAGCATAATGGAATATTCTCATTAGAATGCTTCAGCAAATTCGATTAATTAAGTCTGCTCTGACACATTCTAATCAGAACACATCGGAGCGTGTGTACAGGCACCCCAAATGACTTGCTATAGTCTTTAACACCATGGATTCCTATTTGAATCTCTGGGTTATCTAATGAATCATGTTTACACACCTAACTGCTAATATTTTGTGAGGCGCCCCATAGCACCCTTGAAGATCTTAAGATATCCTAGCTGAGAATCAGTGGGCCATGCTAATCTTATCTGTATTGTTCCTGTTTTTAGTATGCATATTGCTGACTTTAACAAATAACTTTAGTAAACCCCTTGTTTGGGCTCTGGTGCTGACCGAACTATGCTACACCCATGTCTTGTAATAAAAAGGCCAGTGCTTTCCACAGTTGTATGTTCACAGGAAATTCTCTTTCATTCCCCAGTGTAGTTCAAAGTGGGGGTAAATGCCAATACAGGTATTTTTAAAGGTCCACAAATGCATGCAACCTCCACCCTTTTTATTTCTTAGCATAAAGGGGGATGGAACAGTATTAAATTTTTCTTTTTTTCTTAATAACACTACTTTCTGAGAGAAGTAGACAGGAAAAATAAGCTACCTACCAATTTAGCTATAATGAGTGCATCATTCATCAGGTCCAGGAGAGGGGTCTCTGTATGAATATTATAGAAGGAATAGGCAGCTTTGAGGCTTTTATGAACAGGATGGTGCATAACTGTTGAAGGTAATGTGTAGAAACTCAGGAAATCTGTTAAAATGCCATTTGGATTCTGGGAAAGAAAAAAGATGATCTAATGAGGAGTCAGTCTTAAGTTAATTTATTACCACTTTAGACACCTGATCCTACACCACAGATGTTTTTAGGGCTGACAAATATTAACCATCAGGAACTCACCATGTCACGGCACCATCAAAGGCCTTTCATAAGCAAACCTGGTTGAAATTTTTTCATTCTAACATTTTTCCTATGAAAAATGGTTATATAACAAGCAACATATTTAGCTGAAAATTTTCAACACGGTCAAGTTCCCCTTCCCCCCGATTCTTAAAAAATAGAAAAGTTTTGCTTTTTGGTTATAGTTCTTTGTGGAAATATTTAGAGACTCATAATGAACAAGTGTCTCCAGTTGCTAACGCTAAAGGGCACTTCAATTCTGATGTCAGATGTCTTGTTGATGACCTCTGATGTAAAGAGAAAATGTCAAATATAGGAATTTTTCCAATGTGTGAGTTAGTTTCATTTTGGATTGCTATTTCAAGACTAACGTGAATTATGATGTGTAGCCATGGGACTGATATGTAAAGTACACATTAATGCACATTTGCTTTTGTTATTCTCATTTTATTTCCTGATTGCTTCAAGAAGATAAGGAAAAGGAGGGTGAGGATCTGTAAATGTTTGTACATGGTGGACTCCTCGTAGTTCTGAAGTATCATATTTGGTTCCTTAGTGAAAGAACATCTACAGCCCTGAATAACATTCTTCACTGCTGTCTGTGAAACATTAGAAGATTGGTGTCAGTGTGGCTTTAAGTAGAATTACTTGTGTAAGTAATATCAGTAGGGAAGCAGAAGTGAAGTTTACATATACCATATTTACATAATTAACTAATGTTTTACCTCTACTACAAAGGTGTCAATAATATGATCCCGAGGCAGGAACCAGTGAGCTACCTCTTCTTCATCCATTACAGGAGCAAGATTAAACTGCTTCAAGTAATTGTTGATTAATTCTTGCACTGTTTTAGTATCTTTTTTTTCCATTGGTCTCAAACCTGAAGTCTTTGTGGCCTTATAAAAAAAAGGAAAAAATATTAAGTTATTGAAAGGAAAAATGTATACACAGCAAGGGGCTAATTAGGTCACGAACTGACTTACATTCACCGATAGCCTACTTTAGCCTAGCCTTCCAATTCATTATGCTATTTTTACAAACTGCCTCAAACAGTATTCCCTCTCCTGTAATTACCAAGACAAGGCTGAAGCATTTCAATTTTTATACTTCATTATTGAGGCTACTTCATTTTTCTAGGAAAGCAGATGCATTGCCAAAAGCCTAATCTTTTGCATTTCCTTTTTAAGATCCGTCTTGATTTCTTTATTTCTAAATTATTTAGAGTCCAGAAAAAATCATGAATAACAAAAAACAAATCTAAAGACAAAAAGACTTTGAATTCCAGGTCAAAATCAGATCTCTTCTGTGTACATATACATTTATAAATTACCAAACTTTTAACAGAGAAGTCCTGACTATCCCCAACAATTGCAAACTACCTTTCAACATTCTATGTAGACATGATTGCTGTTCTTTTTCCCCAAAAAACACTCGTGACTTGTGGCTGCCTTGGAATTACACACAAGCAAGCAAGATAATTTAGAGAAGGACTTTAAATAGTACGGGAGATTTCCCCCCCACCCAGTTCTTTATAGTTAAAGTTTAACTATGAAGAAAGCAACTGAATCTTTCTTCCCAACACATTTTTTATAAATTATTCAGAATATTTCTTCATTAAACAAAGTTTGTTCTCTTTCAGCTCCTATCTGCTTCTCCTGCTTCATGATTCAAAGTCATATACTGAACTTGTAACATTACTCCCTTGCATGGCAATGCGGCAAAGTTAAACCGTAACTCCAGTCAAGCAGCCAGAAACTGGCTTGGTAGGCTCCCTAAGTACACCCTGTGTAAAAGGGGATCACTAGGTTATCTTGGACTTGTGCATCTGCCCACGCTTCTCATCCTCCAGTCCCATGTAGAGAACTTTCTGGGAATGGTAGTGGAGTACCTAGCTGGACACCCAAGGAAGAGCCAGCTTCAAAAACTGAATGTACACAAATATGACTGATTTAGCATCTCCTTTTCCCAAATCAAGCTGCACCAAGTAAAATCTCAGCTGAACCAGAGGATCCAGTCCAGGATTTTGGTATTTGGGTAGGATCAAACAGGGGAAGCACCACTTCCTTTTTTATACAAGTTTTCCCAGAATAAGAAACTTAAAAATATTCAGGCAGGTTTCTCTACAGCAATATTTTGTGAACAGTCACACCATTCTCTTATATCATTTCAAAAAGATCTTCAGAGAAGATAACACAAGGAATTGTAGTGCCACCGTTCTCTGCTGGGATGATGAAGCCCCCCAAGTGGTGGGTGACATGCCTGAGCCATTAGCAAGCAGCAAGAGTGCAAGAAGCTTCAGGCAGCTAAACAATTACAGAGCGGTAACCGAGAAAAAAATTTGATAAATTTCACAGACATTAGGGCTGGAAGGGACCTCGGGAGAGCATTGAGTCCAGCCCCCTGCCCCAAGGGCAGGAAGTCAGTCGGGGTCAAAGGATCCCAGCAAGATAAGCATCCAAACGCTTTTTAAAGGAGTCCAGAGTAGGTGCTTGCACCACTTCTGGAGGGAGTCTATTCTAAGATACACTAAGAAGCGTGTTTTAGGCTAGTTTGCAGTGAGCCAAGTTATGTGCATAAGTTGGCTGTGACAACATCATGAGAACAAAGATAAAATTTTCAAATACATATAACTCAGAATCACAGAAAATTAGGGTTGGAAGGGGCCTTAGGAGGTCATCTAGTCCAACCCCCTGCTCAAACCAGGACCATCCTCAACTAGATCATTCTAGCCAGGGCTCTGTCAATCCAGGCCTTAAAAACCTCCTAGGATGGAGATTCCACCACCCTCTCTAGGTAACCTGTTCCAATGTTTCTCCACCCTACTCATGGGAACGTTTTTCTTAATATCCAACTTAAACCTTGCTTGCTGGAACTTGAGACTATTGCTCCTTGTTCTGTCATATGCCACCACTAAGAACAGTCTAGCTCTATCCTCTTTGGAATCATCCTTTAGCTAACGAAAGGCTAATATCAAATCCCCTCTCAGTCTTCTCTTCTGCAGACTAAATAAACCCAGTTCCCTCAGCCTCTCCTCAGAAGTCATGTGCCCCAGCCCCATCACCATTTTCACTGCTTTCCGCTGGACTCTCTCCAACTTGTCTACATCCTTTCTACAGTGCGGGGCCCAGAACTGGGCACAGTGCTCCAGATGTGGCCTCACCAGTGCAGAAGGAATGAAATAATTACTTCCCTTGATCTGCTGGCAATGCTCCCACTAATGCAGCCCAGTATGCTGTTAGCTTTCTTGGCAACAAGGGCACACTACTGACTCATTTTTAATGAGTCCTAATTTTTAACTAATTTTTTTAAGCAACTTAGGTACAAAGGCACTTAAGTTCCTTAGCTGTATTTCTAGAGATGCCGTGGTGTATTCTTTTCCCTGCTATGCTTTACTCTTCTGTTGTGGTCTGGATCTCATGAATTAGCAAAGGTTGATTAAAGGAAGAGAGTGATGTGGTTTCTTGTAAACCCCTGGTAGCAACACACCTTGTACTATAAATAGTACAGGGCAATGTAATGATGAATTGTTCTTTTCCTGTACTGTTTTTACATGGGAAACAGAAGTGCAAGCTCTAAAAGTTACATTTGAAATTGTCTACTACATATCTAATTTATGATTTCATAGATTTCATAGACATTAGAGCTGGAAGGGACTTTGCAAGATCATCGAGTCCAGCCCCCTGTCCAAGAGACAGGAAGTCAGCTGGAGTCATTGGATCCCAGCAAGATAAGCATCCAAATTTCTCTTGAAGGCATTCAATGTAGGTGCTTGAACCACCTCTGGTGGCAGGCTATTCCAGACCTTGGAGGCTCAGACAGTAAAGAAATTCTTCCTTATGTCCAGCCTGAAACAGTCTTGCAGGAGTTTGAGAAATATTTAAATTTACTTATAGTTTTTTTGATCCTAAAAACTAATTAATTTTACTATTTACTATTAGACTATGAAATCTATTGCACTGAATCCAAGTGAGAATCTCTGTATGTGCAAGCATGCGCATGGCATTGGAAATCTATCTTATTGACATGTGATGAAATCAAGTAACAGTGTGCACTGCATGACTTTTATAATATCAAGAGTATCAAGGAGTCGGTGACACAATATTTAAAAAAAGATGGTGTACATAGTTATCCAAAATGAGATAAGTCATTGCAAAATACATAGTGGGAAAAACAAACAAATTTATTCAAAAGTTCTCTCTTTTTAAAAAGTGTCTGAGGATTAAGCTACACAGACAGACCATGGTTAGCATCTCCCCCTCCTGGCTGCATAGCTTAGGAACAGCCTAAGAGTTCCCTCTAGCTGGGATAGCTCGAACTAATTTCTCAAATGGAATAAGCAATAACAGCAAAAGAGTATTTTTTAAACCACAGCATGTGGCCACACTAATCTTCTGTTGGCAAATTAACAATGAAGGGTGTGATTTTTTTCCCCACTCTTCTAGCTGATTTAATTATGCCAACAAAACTTTTAAGCATAGAAGAGAAAAAAAAAGCAGTATCCAATATTCTGAGATACAACATTGAGCATTGCACAAAGAAAACTTTCTGGCAAAACTAGGGAAAATGCCTTCCAGCACAGTCTGATAAAAATTTTAGAATGCAATGTTTTAGTATTTGTGGCTAACAATAATCTGTGAACCCACTTATCATGTCATATTAACTGTATATAAAGAAGTGTGCATCATCAGATCCATTCCATTTAACCTAAAACTGATATTCTGGGCTTTTGTTTATTATTATTTTAAGCAAGTGGTATTTCTAAATAAAATTCATCTATGCTTTCAGAATTTGTCTCATCTGTTAACTCTACAGCTTTTATAACCCTTTCCCCAACTGGAAATAAGTTTGCACATCCTGTAAATGCTGGCTTTCCAAAACGAAAAGCTTGCCTTGTCAGAGACAGACGGAAGGTTATTTGGGGCCTCACAATAACTGTGAGGGTTCTCTAGGCATACACATTGCTTACATCGGGAAGTCTGTAGAGCTTCATTGTTCTTTGTAAAGTCATATTCCTACTCAAATGTGAAAATTTCACCTCTACCAATTTTCTGGGGTTCAGTGATCGATGCCAGTACCTGGAAATAGAATTGAAATGAGATTTAATATCACTGCTAGTTTTAATATATGATATACATTACCCTGTCCCATAAGCCAATCCCTTCCTCAGCATTCTGCTTCTATGGAATGATCCTGTACTGCGATCTACACAAACCTTGAGCAGTAATTAAGAGGGGGGTGGGATGGGGTGGGAGGGAGGGAGCAGCACGAGCGGCCCGAGGAGAGTGGTGGCAGCCAGGCCACGACCCCGCTCTGCCCCACACTCCCCCTGCCCCGCACACTGGGGGTTGGAGGGGCAGCAGGTTGGAAGTGAGGGGCACTAGCAGAGCTGGAGGGTTGGGCGGCTGTAGGCTGGGAGTGAGGGGCACCAGCAGAGCCAAGGGGCTGTGGGTCAGGAGCGAGGGACAACTGCAGAGCTGGCGGGGGAGGGCTGTGGTTCGGGAGTGAGGGGGGCCTCAAGTCCAAAAAGATTGAGAATTAATGAACTAGATGACCTCTAGAGATCCCTTTCAGCCCTACTTCTCTGTGATTCTACGATTCAGTTATCTATGAAGAAATTAAGGGCTGGACCAATTTTTCTGGATTTGAACTTGTGATAGCAGAAACAAAATCTACTCCAGGCAAAGAAAGTACTGAATGTCCCACAACTTTCCTTCATAATATTTGTTCTACCTTTGTTAGACATAACAGAAATCTTCCCTTCTTTGGGAGACGTAAGTGATTAAACAATAGTAACATACTATTCCCAGAAACTGTTTTCCATCTTTGACAAGAAATTCGGCCACAAAAAGATGCCTCAGCATGAAATAAGTCACATCAACAATGCAAGTATTGAATTAAAAAACACTGTTACTACTAGCATAGTTTTGATCATAGAGTCAACAGAAGTTTAAATTAATCTGCTTTCCACTTAAGGCCAAATGAAGAAACATAAACTAAGATTCTAATCACAGAAGGGGTTTTGTCCAAGTTTTTGTGAAGAAGCTTTCCATATCCTCTGGATTAGAATCAAGTACGTAATATTTATTTTACTAGAAATTTACAGCAATAAGATGAGCACTGATGAGCTTGTTCATGAACAGCAACATCGAATGTTCTTTAAAATGATCATTCTTGGAAGCAATATTGCTATAAACATCACTAAGTTACCTGCAAGTGGCAACTGGCTTGGGGAGTACCACTCCTGCAGTGTAAACTGCCTGAAAAATCCCTTCCAGATTTACTCTTCTGGTTATTTCCCGAATCAGGACAGGTGCTACTCGTTTAGATCTCAATTTCTTATGGACACAAAGAAAATTGATTTCCACCATTTTCTTCATACTAAGAGAAATTTTACATAAAAGAATGGTTGTACAACTTCATAAAACAGCATCTACTTAAAATAGTTTTATTTTCTGGCCTAGATAAAATTTTAGTTTTTATAATGCAGCTTCTAAAATGTAAATAATGTAATTTTAAAATTTGGAACAGGAAGACTTAATTAAAATGGGGGCTGGCAGCCTATGGCCCAGAGACTGAATCTAGCCTGCAGACCCACTGGATCGGACCTGCAGAGCTGGAGGGCTTTGGCAATGTTCTGGCAGCAGGGGGCTTTGCCTGTGGCTGGGCAACAGGGAGAGACGGCCGTGGCAGCAGCTGGTTCAGAAGCGCTGGCCTGCCTCAGACTTGAGATGGATTGTTTCAGCCCTCTGCTTGAACAGACTGCTGACTTATCAGAACTACCCAGATGTGTCATTGGGATGCCTAGACAGTTTGAATGAGTTTGGAGAGTTTGCCCATGATGCTGGATTTAAAGGCCCAGAAAACCATTTG